CATTTGCCTGTGATTTCTAATCCTTATTATATATTGTTGGTCAATGTTCCAAGGACCCTGAATTATATTCTCCTTGCTCATAAAAATGTAAGTTTCCATGAGAAAAATAAGTTTGACAAAGTTGGGAGGTGATGGCACATGCCTTTGATCCCAGCACTCAGGAGGCAGAGACAAATGGAGCTCTGTGAGTTCAAGACCAGCCTGATCTACAAAGCGAGTCCAAGTACAGCCAAAACTACACAGAGAACTCTGTCTAGAAAAAAAAAAAAACAAAAACAAATGAGCAATAAAGGCAAGTTTCCAGCCATAGGTGGTAGGTACTATACACCCCTTGATCCCAGCGACTCAGAACACTAGTGAGTGTGTAGGTTTGGGATCAGTGTAGGTAACATATACAGTCTCCATATCTTGAAAAACAACAACAACAACAACAAAAAAGAGCTGCCAACAAACTTCAGGACCTGCATCTGAACACCCAGAATGTATAACCTATTATGATGTTATATGTTAGGGAGGTAAATATGTGCATGGAGGCGGGGTCCCTGGTGTACTCTGGCTAGTCAGTCTAGCTGAGTCATCCAGCTATCCAGCTTCAGGCTCAGTGAGACCCATCTGAAAAAGAAACTCAGCATCATCTGCCAGGCAATGGTGGTGCACACATTTAATCCCAGCACTCAGAAGGCAGAGACAGGCAGATCTCTGAGTTTGAGGCCAGTCTGCTCTACAGAGTGAGTTCCAGGACATCTAGGGCTACACGGAGTATTGAGGAAAAAAAAGGAAGAAAGAAAGAAATCTCAGCATCACCCTCTTTCCTCCACATGTACCCACACACATATGTACACATACACAAACATGTAACACATGCACACACACCAAATAAAGAAGCCAACAACAAAACCCCCATAATTCTGTTTTCTCTGTTATCTGTCCAGTTAGAATCACAGAGCTAAGGCCCGAGGTTCACCATGAAAGAGGGTCCCCTAAGTCATCCCAAAGTGTCTAGCCTTATAAACCTATAGCTCCCCTCTTACTCAGCAAAAGTCACCACCAGTTTCAGAGGAGGCAATCAAGGCTCAGAGAGGTTCTCTGACACACATGTGGCACTGGTCCAGCTGGAGGCTCTGATCTGTCCCTCAAAGCCCAGAGGTAAACATGAGGGTGCTGTATCACACTGCCAAGCTGTAGGTCCCTTGGCAAACGCAGAGTGATGCAAAAGCCTGACCAGGTAGTTTTCAGACTTGAGGACAAATCTTAGACAAAAGTGAACAACCACCTAAGGTCACAAAGTATGTATGTGACTGAACTTAGCCAAAAAAAGAACCACTGGTGTTCCATATGGGTGTGGTGTGCCCCGCCCCCCCCCCACACTTCTAAAGATCAAACCCAAGTCCTGGCAGGTGTTAGAGAACTGCTCTAACCACCGAGCCACACCTCCATCCTAGCTGGGGGTCTTGAACCTCTCTGTTTTGGAGTCTATAATGTCCACACCCTGGAAGTGACTCTGGGTCAGGAGACTGCTACCCTCTCACTCATCCACAGCCTGGGAAGGTATTGGCAGGGGAGGTATTCAGTATTGCCCCCCCCAAGCCCTTGTACCTCAGAGCACCTCAGGGTCATCTCATACCTGACCTACAGAGCTGGGGGGGGAGGGGAAGGGCAGAGATCAAACCTTTGTTGCCAATCTCAACTGAGCTGAAGAATTTTGGGTCCTCCCCTGGGGCTCCAGGTTGTTCCCTTGGAAAACAGAACCCTCATAGGAGGATCTACGGGGCTTGAGTTCCTCCCTGGGCAGCCATCTACCTACCCTACTTAGTCCCCTGTATGGTGGGTGGATGGGTGGATGTGCCCCACAAACCTGGGCTGTTCTTTCCTGGTCCAACCACCAAGAGGAGCATGGTCTTGGATGGAGAATGTGGCTCCTTTTCCAGGGGGCGAGACAAGGACTCTTCATGTGTTCCTTGTGTCTCCAGTTTCCTACACGACCCCCAACCAACTGACAGAAATCTTCCCTAAAATGCACCTAAGATAGTAAGACTGTAACTACAAAAAGCCTTCGCGCATCTGCATACCCCGCCCTGAGAATGGACCCTTGGTCCCCTCTTCCTGCAGCCGGTCTACCGGCTCTTCGGGGTCCCTCAGCCTCCCTCCCCTGATCTCCCGCTCCGGCCCTCTCGGTTCCGCTACACAGGGTTCTAACCTGGGATCAGGTTTCTACTCACCGGGCGGTGGAGGTGCTACAGCCAGGGTCACAGTCATTTTAACAATGAATCAAGACGCTGCCCGGGAGGTGCGTGTAAGACCACACCCCCACAGCACTCCAATAGGCTCGCCCTCAGAGCTTCATTTGCATGATCAATGTGCGATTGGACCCAGAGAGGACTAGGGGCGGGGCATAGGCGGGCGGTGCCCAGGCACCTTGGAGCACCGAAGCACAGCACGTTTCGCCTGCCTCCAGTCAGGTCCCCATGGGGTCTGAGGGCTGAAGCTGGCCCAGTGGCCTCTTGTCTGTTTCCCGTTGGCTCGTTCTAGCTAAGGTCTTTTAAAAGGCACTAATGCATACATGGAAAGTATGAAGTGTGGCTAGCCCAGTGTGATGTGGCACATACTTCTCATCTAGCTCCTGAAAATCTGAAGCAGGAGAATGGATTGCGCACAATTCGATCAGCCTGGCTGCAAGAGCGAGACACTCCCATAAAGCAAAACCAAAGGCTGTAAATCCAGCAATTGGGAGGTGGGGACAGTAGAAGCAGTGGCCTAAGTAAAGGCAAGAAAATCAGGAGGTAGGCGCGGCGGTGGAGGCGCCCGCCATTAATCCCAGCACTCCGGAGGCAGGGGCAGGAGGATCTCTATGAGTTCGAGGCTAGCCTGGTCTACAGAGTGAGTTCCAGGACCGGCAATGCCACAGAGAAACCCTGTCTCAAATAAATAAAAGAAAGAAAGATCAGGAGATCAAGGCCAGATTTGGCTGCAGAACCAATTGGAGTCCTGCTGTACATGAGAGCGGGTCAAACAAAAACCAAAAAAACAGAAACCAACCAACTAAATGAATTGTTCAGGCAGAACAGTTCCAGACAGCTAGTAAATATGAATGGAATACAGTACCATCAATACATCACTCCGGGTACTGCATTCAGAGTTATCAGGGACCAAAGAACATCCCAGCTCAGGTATCTTAACCTCCATTTGAACACTGACTTGGGCTCAGCCACAAAATGTACAGCCACACCCTAACTTTTCAAGTTAAACTCTATTGTGCACTGGGTACACTCCAGCTCCTAAGCCAGGTCTTTATATACAGCAACGAAGATCAGAGATGTCAATTGACTTGCCAAGGTAGCACAGCTAATAAAGACCAGATTGGGCCAAAAATCTTGGGATGTCTGACTCAATGGGAATGCTCCCATTTGCTAATTCTCTCATTCACCTGTGTCCGGTGAAGAACTCAGAAAAGAAAGCATGAACGAAATGTGGCTTCTTTCTAAGGGCAGACGTAAGGCCCTGAATAAGCCATCCCTGCCCAGCATGGAGCTGGCTGACAAGCCAATGTGCTTCCTCCATGTCCTGGCTAGCTGTAAGACAGGGACTAGTGAGTCCTTGGTTCAGGGTCAGCCTCTAACATTTCTTGGCTAGGTGACCTTGAGACAGTTACTTGACCTCTCTGAGCCTGGGGCAGAATGGGTATTTCAACTAAGTTGAAACTAAGCAAGGCTCTGTCCCTACCTGGCAATTCAACCTAGAGCCAACTGAGGGTGCCCACATGACAATCCAGTTCATTAAACATTTATGGAGCCCTTTGTCAGTCATGTTTGCTGGGGCTCATTGAAGAACAAGAGGCTCATGCATCTTAGCAAAGACCCAGAGAGCATGAGCCTATAGGTCTGGACAGGTCACAGGCTGAAGGATGGCAGGACCTGGAGTAGAAAGCAGGAGAGGGGTCTGGTTGGGCACCATGAGTCAGTATACTCACCTTCACTTTGGAGTGTTTGCCCAAGAGGATGGCAGAAGGCAGGGAGCAGAGAACTATGGGATGAGGCCCCTCTGTAGAGATGGGTGAGGATGGTGGGGCCCAGAGAGCTTAGTCCAGGAAACAGCAGCCAGCAGACAAAGCTACCCTCTCATCCCCACATGGCCATGTTTGTTCCCTCCCTTGCTGCCTCCTCATCCTCATCCTACCAGAGGGAAGTCAGACTCTAGCAAACTGCCCAGAATCCCCCAGCCTTCATTGTGGCACCATGCAGTTCCTACACAGGTCTCTGTGAGCTGTTCAGAGGGTTCAATTGAGGGCACTGTGGAGGCAGTCATGGCAGTGACCACTGTCACTATTCATCTTGCTGTCTCCTGCTCAAGCTCTGGACTTGCTGGCTTCATACTGATTTAACTTGACTGTTTTATTGTATTGACATATGAAGGACACATTCATGGAAGCAAAAAGACAACTTTGCAGAATGGTGTTTGCTAAAAGTTCTTCCAGGGGAAGGTGTAAGCAGTGCCCACCCATTCCAAGGATCCAACAACCACCCTAGGCACTATTCCATCACTGTTTCCTCTGCAGAGCCAAGGAGTGCATTGGGCTTCCTTCTAGAGTGAGGGTTACAGAAATGTTAGTGCTCCCCTACAAATGCTGCACTGGGAAGTCTCTACCAAGGTTTCCCCAGAGGTGCATAGGTGGAGAAACCCCCCCCCCCAGTTCTTCCTCATCTACAGCCTGAGACCGCATCCTATTAGAGCAGAATTGCATACCACTCATGGGGGTGGGGAGCTGGCATACTCAGTGAGGGTCCCATGATCCTCTCTGTCCCTTCTTCTATGAGGGAAGGTAAACAGTCAACAGGTCCAGTTGTGCTGACTGTTTATGAACAGGTCCAATAGAACTCCCATGGGCTGGAGAAATGAGAGCAGTTAAGAGGACTTGTTGCTCTTGCAGAGGAGCCGGGTTTGGTTACCAGCACCCACAAAGCTCACCCATCACTCTGGTTCCAGGGGTACAGTGCCCTCTTCTGACCTCCATTGGTACTGCACATATGTGGTACACTTACAGGCAAAATATTTACAAGACATGTTTTAGGAAAAGTTTTCAATTAGCAATAATTGCATCTTGGATAAACCTCATTGGCTACAATACTGCCACTGTGAAAAGCTCACAAGACATGTTTTAAAAATAAGCTGGATGGTGGGAACTGGAGAGATGGCTCTCCTGCTCTTCCAGAGGTCCTGAATTCAATTCCCAGCAAACACATGGTGGCTTACAACCATCTATAATGAGATCTAATGCCTTCTTCTGGTGTGCATGCATACATGCAGATAGAACACTGTATACACAATAAATAACAAATCTTAAAAAAAATAATAAATTGGGTGGTGGCGGCACAAGCCTTTAACCGGAGCAATCTGGAGGCAGAGGCAGGTGGATCTCTGTAAGTTTGAGATCAGCCTGGTCTACAGAGTTTTAGGACAGCCAGGGCTATGGAGAAACCCTGTCTTGAGAAGACATAAACTAATAGTAATAACGATTTAAAATCTGGCTCAGAGAATAGTCTTGCACAGCCCTTGGTTCTTTCCTATCATTGCTATGTTGGTTCTGGGAATCAAACTCAGGTCTTCAGCATTAAGTGATGTGATGGTTAGCCTTAATTATCAACTTTTCACGATCTGCAATCATGTGTAAAGTCTCAATGAAGAACTCCCTAGATCAGGATGGCCTGTGGACATGTCTGTGGGGGGGTTGTCTTGATTACTGTTGAGGTGGAAAGACTCATTTACTGTGGACAGCACCATTCCCTAGACAGACAGACAAGAGTTTCCTGAAATGTAGGGAGGGAGCTGGGCACAAATAAGTACCTGTATTTATGCTCTCTGCTCTTGACTGGATGTGACGTGACTAGCTCTCCAAGGCCCTGCCTTAACTCCCTGCTATGGTGAACTGTCACCTGCAACTGGGAGCTAAAGTAAACCCTTTCTCCCATAAGTGGCTTTTTTTGTCAGTTTTTTCTTTTTTCTTTTAAGCCTCTCCAAGGTGACCAGGCTTCTTGGTTTGAGATGTTAGTAGCCTAATTACTTGGGGCATCATTTTTTCATTTTTTAAATGATTTATTTATTCTTATTTTATGTGCATTGATGTTTTGCCTGCATGTTTGTCTGTGAGGGTGTCAGTTCCCCAGGAATTGGAGTTACAGGCAGTTGTAAGCTGTCATGTGGTTGCTGGGAATTAACTCAGGTCCCCTGGAAGAGCAGCCAGTGCTCTTAACCGCTGAGCCATCTCTCCAGCCCCTAGACATGGTATTTTATCGCAGCAACAATTGTAACTTAGACACACATCAACCTGCATTGTCACTTTACTGGGCCTCTGCTCCATCCACATTTTTGCTTGAGTCAGGGGCCTGGCTGAGATCCCCCTGTTCGAGCCCAGAACCTGTGTCTTCACCTGGCAAAGGGGAAGGAACGCCCAGTCCTTTCTTCCACTGGTAATGGAGGGTTCAGAGTCTTGGTGAGCAATGCAGAGGACTACGTGGCAGAGCAGAACAATATGGATGACCTTTCCTGGGGTCATCAGAGCTGTTCTGGGATGACCACACACAGCCAGGCTTGTTTTCACCTATTTACTTGCCTAGGAAAACAGAGTTAAAATTAGTAAACATTGACTGTGGCTCACAGTCAAGGGGATAAAGTCCAAGGCACGGTGGCAAGATCAGACTGGTGGTGGAAGCTTGCTTACATCCAAGGGACCACAAGTGTTGCTATGAAGTCGAGGTGGCTTTCAACAATGTGACTAAAGCCACTGTAAGCTCAGACCTCTCAGAAATGGTGAAATATAGATCTTCATTGCCGTGTGATGGCTCAAATTCTACTCCCTCCAGGAAGGCCTCTTTGCCACCCCCACCTGGAGCAAAAGCTCTCAGTTGAGACCCTGGGCAGGACTCATGATCCTCAAGGGTTGTTTTTTTGCCTAGGAACCCCAGAATGATCCCCTCTGGAATAGAGAGAGGCCTTTGTTTCTTTGGGTATGGTTACCCAGCTTGGTGGCCTTAGTCTTTGTCATTGATGTTAGAGCTACCATCTTTCCTCAGTTCCCTCCTTGGAGTCCTCACCACATGCTCACAGCACTTTGAGCTGCTTTGCTCACCATTTATCTGCAGTGTCCTGAACCTGGCAAGTGACATGAAAATGCTTGGAGAGCTAAAGCCTGCAAACCTGCCTCTCCCTTGTTTGTCAGGGTTTTGTTTCCGATTGCCTGTACACATCCTCACTGCCACCAGGGGGCCTCTTTAAAATAAAGCCGCATCGGTGATTTCATTCAGCCTGGTGAGAGCTTCCTTCTCTCAACCCACAATCCCTTGCTCTCCAGGGACTTTGAATCAGGCAGCATCCTCTCCTGTCGCCCAGCTCAAGATGAGCCTTCTAGGCGTCTGTTAGAAGTCTTCTCAAATGCCCTTGTCCTGCTCTGGAGAGCCTGGACCGCCTGCCTTCTCTAGACTGAGTCACTGCCCGCCCACTGTTGTCCCAGCTGGGGGCTGTTAGCTGCTAGTCAGCCTCCCCTTGGCTCTTCCTAGGGAAAAGCCTGCTAGCTGTATCCCAATCATCCGATAGTTCTCCTCTGGGTACTTCCCTTCCTAGAATAGCCAGGGTTGATGCTTCTCTTCCAGCAGGAAGCACACACACCACCACCCCCATCCCCAGGGATGATTATGTCCTTCTCCATCCCTTCCTCTTCTCTGCTAGCTGAAATGCAGATATGATGACTAGAGCTCAAGCAGTTATCTTGGCCTGTGAGGCAGCTATCCAAAACAAAACAAAGCACAAAGTAAGATCTAAAAGCTTGCCACCCAGCTTCTAGCCTTCCCAGCGTCAGGCTGGTTCCTTTCTTCTTTTCAGACCAAGAGTCCTTACTACACGAACTAGTTGTGAACATTTGATATATGGAGTTGAACCTCACTGTCCTAGGTCCTGCTATGTAGCCCAAGCTGACAGAGAATTTGGGGGTCTCCTACAGTAGGCCTCATGAACTGCCTGGACTGCAAACATGTGCAAGCTTGTCCTAGTAACGTCATAACTTTTTTTTTTTTTTTTTTTTTTTTTTTTTGAGGCTGGCTCTCTGTAGCCCTGACTAGGCTACACCTTACATGACTCCTTCCTCTTCTGCTTCCAAGTGCTAGGACTAGAGATGTGTGTCACCATGCCCAATTAACCTCACTACTCTTGATGACGTCCCCACAGACCCAAATCTGCCCAGGATGAAGAGACAGGGAAGGAGTCTAAGCTGAGAGTGTAGGGGGTGCCCTGTGTATATGGGTGGATCCTGGGGAAAGACTTAAGTTTTCAGGTGTGTGTGTGTGTGTGTGTGTGTAGGGGGGTGCCCTGTGTATATGGCTGTATCCTGGGAGGAGATACAAGTTTTCCACCTTCCTGTTCTGAGAACTGGCCATACTTGTGACTCAATTTCCTTTGTCAGCTAGAAAAACCAATGACACACAGGAAAGGTATATGGCATCTCACTTCCAGTGAATTGCCGAAAATGACATCACATCACCAGAGAAAGGGACTAGAGGCAGACATCTCTAATGAAGAGATAGGGACATGCTGTGAGCCATGAGGTGTAATCCTGGTGTGGTACCAAGTATCTAATACTACTCATATTCCAGTCTCAAGGTGGTCCTGATGGAGGTTCACACAGGGAAACACACATGAGGCTCATCACATGAGGACCAAATCCCTGCATTTCCTGCCTTGCTTCTCCCAAAGCAGAGAAGGCAGGAAAGGAGGGAGGGGCTGAGGCCAGGCCAAGCCAGCTCCAAGGAAGACCCTGAGCTGAGCTTCCCATCCCTGACTATAGGTGACTCTAGACCTCAGTCTTCAGACACCACCTGACAAGATGGTCCAGGATGGCATAAAACTCCCTATATAGCTAAAGATGACTGTGAATTGAGTTCCCTTCTCAGTCTCCTTGCTGCAATATTACCATATACTACCACAGTTGGCCACAGCTCTGGATTCTACAAGGGACATGCTATTCTCCAGCTATTTCTAGGGGACCCAGATATGACATGACCTTGTAATACCCTCAGGAAAACCTACAAGTAGAAGATGGACCCCTGACCATTCCCACCATCCCAGAAGACAACTTTGGGGCATGGCACCAAAGACAGGACAAATCACAAGCACACAGGTGAGGGACTTCAAGAACTGTTGAGACCCAGGTGGATGTACATTTGTGAAGAAACCCTAACACATATCTGCAGGCTCCTGGCGCCAAGGCTCTAGAAAGCCCATTGCTTCTGGGTTCAAACCCCAGGCTGGTTCCCAAGCAAGGATGGCCCCACACTGGAGAAGTCCTGGTTTTCTGGCCTACACTGCAGTTACCACTCAGCATAGCTGGGTTGCAGGGACAGCCACAGATTGTGGCTGGGGACCCACAGGCTTCTAGAGGGCTCACTCCCCACTGTGCCTGGCTTTTCCATTCATCCGTCGTCGGCGCTGGGTCTTGCTGGTACGAGTGGCACTGGGAGGTTTCTTGGTGGAGTCCTGGGCCCGCCGAGGGTGTTTCTTCTTGACCTTCTTCCGACTGTGTGCATGCAGTGTGGCTGTGAGGGAGGAGATGCTAGAAGGAAAGTGGAGGCTGGTAAGGCCAGGGCCCTGGCTTACCCTTGAGACTCAGTCAATGGTGGGAGGCTGGGTACTGATCATTTGACTAATGGATGAGAAGCTGGGAAAAGCTCCAAATACACTTCAAACTGCCTGGTCTGGCTCTACAGAGCCTAACAGGCTCTTCCCCCCACTAGTCTAGGGTAGGTCCACATGCTTAGCCACTAGTACCAGACAGAAATGGAATCCAGGAACCACAAGCCAAAGCTTACCGCTGAGATAGGAGGGGATCTTTGGATTTCCTAGGCAAGGCTTTGGTTGGCTTCTCCATGGATGACAACTCCTCCTGGGACCCATCCAGGACCCCTTGCTGGAGAAACAAAGGACATGGACTGTTACAGGGAGTGCATAGGCACCCTGAGCAGTCCTATCTTTAACACAGAAGTCTGGCCAGCACCTTAAAGGCCTGCATAAAGCTCAGACAAGGCTTTAGGCAGAAATGCACTGTGTGTGTCTGTCCTGTTTAGCCTTAATTGCTGACTTGACATACCCCAAAGTCATCTGAGAGAAGCCTCAATTAAGAAATTGCCTCGATTAAGTTGGTCTATGGGCAAGACCAAGCCCACACTGGGTGGCATCATTCTTTAGGCAGGTGGCCCTGAGCTGGATGAAAAAGCTAGCAAATTATGAACTAGAGAGCGAATGAGTCAGAGTGAGCATAGTTTCTACCTCAAGTTCCTTTGTTGAGTTTCTCACCTGATTTCCTTCTATGCTGAACTGTGACCTGGACATATAACCCTTTCCTCCGCCTAAATTGTTTTGGTTATAGTGTTTGTCACACTAGCAGAACCAGAATGATAAAAAAGGACAGCTTGTTTCCAAACACTCACCAACAGCAACATCAGCAAAATGACAAGACACACTGTGTCAGCCTTAGAGAAGGACAAGCATAAAGCAGATAAGTAGAAATCAGTCAGGCCATGGCTTTCCAGGATGTAGACACTACAGAAATTTTCTCCCTCTGAGATAGGGGCCCAGGCTGGTCTTGAACTAATGACCCTCCTGCCTTCACCTAGCCTTGTGTGCCTACCCTTGGCAATGTGTGTGGTTTTGTTCTGTTGTTTTGTAATGTTGAAGACTGGACCTAAGGGCCTCACATTCTGGACAGTCTGCATCCTCAGGCTGGAAATGCTCTTTATACTGTAGTCTGGGCAGTTGGAGTCAACCAGCTACAGAATGAAAAGAAATAAAACATCTGGAAGGAGACATGGTGTTTGTGCTGAGCATATATTTCTTGTCTTTTTTAGATTTTTTTAATTGATGAATATATTGCTTGCATGTGTATCTATTCACCACATGCATGCCTGGTACTTGTAGAGGTCAGAAGAGGGGTCAGATCCCCTTGAACTACAGTTGTAAGGACTCAGGCACTATGCTGGCCTGCCTGTTGTGAGTCACCATGTGCGTACTGGGAATTGAACCTGGGTCTTCTGCAAGAGCAGAAAGTGTTGTTAACCGCTGAGTCATCTCTCAAAGACCCAGACTCATGCTATTCTTTGAACACTGCAGGACTTAGAGAGTATTTAGATTGTTTTGTTTTTGATTATTTAGTGTGTGTGTATTGGGATGGTGTGTGTGTGTGTGAGAGAGAGAAACGTGTATACCCCAGCATGTGTGTAGGTCAAAGGATAACCTGTAGGAGCCAGCTCTCCCCTTCCAAGCTCCAGGGACTAAACTCAGGCTGTGGAATAGGTAGTAAAGCACCTTTACCCCTAAGCTATCGCGCTGGCCCGGAATTCAGTTTTCTAAGTAACTAAGAGATGAATTAAAGGGCAAGGAAGGACATGTGTAGATTCTGTGTAAATACCACAGCATTTTATTCAAAAGACTTGAACATCTGCAGTCCTGAAGGGACTCTGATATAGAAATTCCTACAGAAGCCATGGGCATAGCTTGAAGTGGAGTAGGGGTTTTGTTCCATTTACTTGGATGCTGTTGTTTTCAATTATTGAACAAATTATTGAGGATGCAACACCCACATTACAAACTTGTGCACATATGCCAAGGGCATATGTTCTGCTTGTCATGCAATGGTTGCAGTCGCTGTAAGTGGTCTGTTGAGCTGGACTCGGTACCAAGGGCCTCACCCTGCATCATGATTACTCACCCCCATAAATAGGCAGGTCTACCATGGCAACACTCAGCTGACTGATGAGTTGAGCTACACAAGATAGCTGCCAGGGGCACACTTCCAGCAGGAAACCCTATATGGGCACTGAGCAGCCCCACAAACCAATCTACCCCTCAATCTCTTCTTCCCCAGGGCTGCCCTGGGACCTACCTCAGGCAGGGGCAGACCTAGCAGCCGGGCTCCTGAGAGGTCCAGGTCACTGATGGTAGTCACAGTGACTGTGTGATTGGGGTGGTCATACTGCATCGACTCTGTCTTTGCTGTCACCAGCCGCTCAAGCTCATCTGCCTCCTCTGCAAGGTAGACAGAGACCAGCCTTCAGCCAGCCATGTCTTGGCTGCCAGGCTCCAGCCTCCCTCCTAGTCCCGGATGAAGGGGACTGGCATACAGTTTGCCTTTCTAAAGCCAGCCATTCTTTCCTTGTATCTCCTCCATTTACCCTTTCTTTCTGCATATACAGAGTGGTCCAGAATCCCCACCCACATGAAAGTGCTGGAAATGACCATCATCCCTCTGTGCTCCAGCTTCTCCCTGCTTTGGAGAAACTGAGTAACAGCAATAACTGTACCATCCAGCTCTCTGCACAGCCTCAATTTACCATGTGGCTTGGGTCCCCTGGTCTCTGATCCACCCCTGACCCCTTCATCACCACCAAGATTTCTATGGCTAAGAAAATCACCCTCTATCCAGCTTTCTCCCCATTCTTCCTTATCCCTACCAGGGGACACAGAAGCCCAGGCTCACTAGATGCTCCCCACATAAGACCTAGCTGGGAACTTACCTAGTGCTTCCTCTCTTTCTGCCAGCATCTTCAGGTATTCCTGGTGGCGCTGAAGTCAAATAGGATGATGTAATAGTGTTAATTGTTAACCCAACAGAATCTAGGATGGTCTGGGAGATGGGCGTCTGAGCATATCTATGGAGTATTATCTAGAAGTGAGAAGATCCGCCCACTATGGGTGGTACCATTCCCTGGCTGGGGTCCTGAGCTATATTAGGTAGAGAAATAGAGCTAGCTGAGCAGCAGCATGCCTTCATCACTCTGTTTCCTGATTCTGGATGTGATGGGACCAGCCGATTCAAGCTCCTACAGCCTTAACTCACCTGCCACAATGGATTGTGTGCTTGAATTGAAAGCCAGAATAAACCCTTTCTTCCTTAAGTTGCTTTTGTCAAAAGTTTTATATTACGGTCACAGAAATGACTGTACTAAAACAGAAATGAACAAAGGGAGAATAGCCTTTCAGTCAATCCCAGGCAACAGCCCTATTCACTTCCATGGTGTGAGACCATGGTTCATAGAGCAAGCTCAAGAGAAGACTCGTCCTTCACACCCCCAGGGCCTACTTGTGTACATGCTCACACACCTCCTGCTCTGCCCCCATCAGACCCATCCAAAACCTCCCCTCCCCTGGGAGGTGAGCCCCCACTCCTCCAAACCCCCATCCTCCTCTGTACTGCACCTCTTCCCGGAGCTTCTTCTGCTCCTGCTTCAGCCGCTGCTTTATCTCCTCAATGGCTGCCTTCTTCCGCTCCACCTTCCGTTTGTGGAAGCCTGTCAGGTATTCCCTGAAGAAGGAAAGCAGGGGAGAGTCAGTCGGGAGGAACCACAAAGAAAGAAGGGCTCTAGAGAAACTCCCAGTGCTATAAGGGCCAAGCTCTATCTATCCTACCCAACACATTCTACCCTTTCAACAGCCTGTCCTTATTTTACAGGTAAGGACACTGAGGGAGAGACTAGAGTACTTATCCAAGGTTGCAGAGAACATGATTGTCATTCAATGACAAGGGTACCTTATGTGAAATGAGTTGCTAGTCCCAACGGAACCATCAAGGTGTACTTAGATAATCCTAGGTGGTGTAACAGACCACACACCTGTGCTGTAAGCTATGTCTCATTATATGCTCTATCTTTAAGAACAACATTAACACATAGTATGCTTTTCCCCAGGCTTCTTTCTCCAGGGCACCTACTTCACCCGAGGTCCTTGCCCCCTTGGTGGGTACACACAAAGACACAGAGCAGGTGGGGGCTGCTTCCACACTGGTAGGAGTCACCTCTAATTGGGCTTTCTATGAAGGCCTTCACCCAGACCCCACTGGTGGGGTCCTAAGGATGCCCCCCACCTTCCCAACTCTTGCTTCCTCCTACTATCTGATCTCTGCTCTGGTCCCGATTTTGTTGTTGTACTGGAGGGTTAAACCTAAACTAATAAGTTTATATTGCTTTGGGGACAGAGACATCGCCCAAATGGCCAGACTTGTCTTGAACTCTCTCTCTCTCTGCAGCCCTTGACTTTGTAATTCTCCTGCATCAGCATCCCTGTGGTTAGGATTACAGGTCTACACCACCAGGCCTAGCAACTGCAGTTTCGTTTGGTGTGCTGCACTAGGGTTTTCGCAGACCCACTACAGCGTGCCATTTATCTACGGTGACACTGAAGCGCAGAGGTTCAGCCTCCAGATCCCAAGCTTGGTTGAACACAGTATGAGAAAATGAATGGACATAAATCTCTCTTATCCCATTCGCTCGCCGTTCGTAAACGACGATAGGGAGCCAGCTGTATGCTGGGACCATGGATCAGGCTGGACTCGGGCGATCCAAAGCACAGATCTGCGCAGACCGGGATCTGCGAGAGAAGGGCGGGCGACACCAACCCACCAGGTCGGGCACTCCAGGGGCGCAGCCGGAAGGGCCCTCTGCGTGAACGTGCGCCGTCCTGGACCCGGCAAGGCCTCTCCCGGCAGCCTGACAGGAATCCGGTTCGACCCTAGCACTCACCGCCGCTTCTCTTCATCGAAGCTGAGGACGAGCCGAGGCCGTCGGTCATCTCCATCTCGCTTCTTCTTGTTACGGCCCATAACAAGGAAGCTTCCGGAAGCGTGGCTGCCGTGAGCCAAAAACGCTTCCGCTTCTGTGTGTAGCAGTGTCACATGTCCGGGAGCGCGTTCAGTGGCCTTGTTCTACAGTTCCGCCGACTTGTCTCCGCCTTTTAAAGGAGCCTCCCAGCCTGTCTCTCACAGTTCAGGTTTTCCCAGGATGGCTTTAGTGAGAAATAGGCCCCGTGATTCATCCCATCACTAGCGTGGCCCTAGCAGACGCTCAATATGAAGTTATTCATGAATGGCTAAAAACTACTGATCTTTGTCCGGGCGTTGGTGGTTTACACCTTTAATCCCAGCACTCGGGAGGCAGAGGCAGGCCTCTGGGAATTCGAGGTCAACATGGTCTACAGAGCTAGTTCCAGGACAGGCTCCAAAACAATACAGAGAAACCCTGACTTGAACAACAAACAAACAAAAAACCGTCTCAAAAAACAAAACCAAAACAAAAAACTACTGATCCTAGATGAGCAGTGGTGGCACACACCTTTAACGCCAGCAGGCAGATCTCTAGAGTTAGAGGCCAGTCTGGTCTAACAGCGCAAGACAGCCAGGACTACACAGAGAAACCCTGTCTTGAAAAATCAAAAACAAACAAATTCATCCTAATTGAATTCTAATGTCAACTCTTTGGTGATTTACATGAGTGAGGGAAACTACCTGGATTCTAACACTGGTATTCATTTATCAGCTGTGTGGCCCTGGAGCAATTGTCTTTTTACTTTTTTTAAGATTAAAACAACCAGGTGGTGGTGATGCACACCTATAATCCCAGCACTTGGCAGGCAGAGGCAGGCAGCTGTCTATGAGTTCAAAGCCAGCCTAGTCTACATAGTTTCAGGACAGCCAGAGCAGAACTACATAATAGGGAGACATTGTCTCAAAAACAAATAAGTTAAATTAAACAGGAGAAGAAAAACAATTGCTTGAGTGAGTTTATGTGTATACCACATGAGTGGAGTAGCGCCCACACGTGCAGAAGAGGGTATCAGATCCTCTACAACTAGAGTTACAAATAGTTGTGAGTCATCATGTGGGTGCTAGGAATCAAACTCAGGTCTTTTTCAAGATAAGAAAGAGCTGTTAGCTGTTGAGCCATCTCCCCAGAGCCCTTGTCCCCATTGTCTTTTTCTTTGTGCCTCACTTACCTATTTATAAAGCACAGATAATTGTGACTTTGTAGGGCTGTTGCAAAAAGAGGGTTCCAGAACTTTGGCATGCACTAGATGCCCTAGAAGGCTTGCTGAAATCCAGATCCAGGGTTTGTGGTTCATCACATTTGGACAGAATATCCATTTCTAGCACATTCTCAGATGTCCCTGATTACTGCTCTGCATGCAACAAAGTTTGAGAGCCATGACATAATGGGAAATGTCATTCTGTAAATATGCTTATCTTATTGGTTGACGAATAAAACACTGTGGCCAATAGGGCAGCAAGAGAGGTGGGTCTAGGAAATGAGGAGGATTCTGGTAGGTGTAGGCAGAGTGCAGTCACCAGGCAGGATGCCAGAGCCATAATAGGCCTCCAAACCTTATTCCAGTAAGATAAGACCACATGAAAATACTTAGATTAATAGAAATGGGTTAGTAATTAAGACAGATCTAGCCTATAAGAAGCTCTAGTCATTGGCCAACAGTATTATAATCAATAGAAGTCTCTTGAGTATTCATTTGGGGCTGATGCAGCTGTGGGACCAGGCTGTCAGGAAAGAGTTATTGTAACAATGACAGTGATAAAAACAAGTGTGTTGTGTCAGGAGTGTGTAATACATTGCTCTGCCATACTCAGGTTTGGTGCACAAGCCACATCAGCTATGTGCCTCAGTTGCCCCAAGTATGGAAAGGGAGTTTAACAACACACCTTCTACTAAACACCACAGGGGTTTGAATGTGAAACATTGGGTAAAATAACACCAGATGGATTTTAGAGACTTCATTGTACAATTGGCTTCCCTGCTGGGTGCTGAAGACATGGCTCACGTTCTTGACTGTAAGGACTGGCCCTGTGGCCAAGTCTGTGATCATGATAGTACAGGGGATAAGGCCTCTGCAGGAAGAAGCTCAGGAGGATGCAGGGAGTCAGGACTGCCTTCTGCAATGTGGAGGGAAGGAAGGGGCCCAGAACAGGTGGTGGTACACAGGGTAATGTATATCATCTGGACAAAAACCAGACTCTTAGGATCCAGTTGTTTTCCAGATAGAAGCCCGGAGAGCCAGTATTGAATGCCTAGTGTGTACCAAGCACATAGAGAGGCAAGCTGTCACTTAAGAGGTATGTGGTGTCACATACCTCTAATTCCAACATTCAGGAGACAAAGGCAGGCATATCTCTGTGAGTTCAAGATCAGCCTGGTCTACAAAGTAAGTTCTAGGACAGCCAGGATTACATAGGGAAACCTTGTCTTGAAAAAAAAAGGGGGGGTGATGCACAAATCAGGGAGGAGTCTGAGAAGGAGCTAGCAAGAGAAACAGGCTCTCATTTACCAAGTCAGGCCTCAGAACTTCTTTTTAGTCCACAGCCACAGAGCACTAGACATACACACTTCTGAGTGGTCACTTCTGCCCCCTGAGGACCACACCCTCCTGACACTCTTGATATCTCCCCTTTGGATAGAGGCATTGTGCTGGCCACAATGTGCCTCCTTTCTGTTGTGGGACTAACACCTGCTGCTCCATCCTACCCTGTGGCTGTGGCTAGATTTCTGCTTGCAATTATTTTTGCATTTACTGGGTATCTAATAAGTGCCAGAGGCAGCAGGGGATTCCACACAGAAAGACAAGCAGTGGCTGTTTATTTAGCTATTTTTACCTGCTGTCTGGAGAGCTGACCCCCATTTCATTGAGAAGTCAGGCTCAGTCAGCTGCAGCCTGAGGCTACACAGTTGAGAGCAGGTCCAGCAGTCAAGAGGCAAAGGCAGGAGGCTCAGCCGTTCAAGATCATCCTTGGCTCCAAAGGGAGCTTGAGGACCGCTGGACAGAGGGGTGGGTGTGTGCTGAGGTTGGCACCAATGGTCTAAGAAGTGGTCTTTTTAACTTCACTAGACTGGTTTGCTAGGCTCCTGGGAAACACTGAGCCTTAAAGGGTGTGAAGAGAACCAGCATTTTCTGAGCTCCCACCAGGTGCCAGGCACCACACATGTACAGAGACGATAAATTTCCAAACACACAGAGTATGTACCACTGTTAACTCAATTTGACAGAAAAGGAAGCTGAGCCACAGGATGCTGTATAACAGGTTCAAGAACATACAGCAGTGGAGCTGGTGTTTGAACTCGGGTCTCTCTGATCCCATGTCCAGTAGTCTTTCCCTTCTCCTCTGTCGTCATCCCTCACACTAGGTTAGTGCTTAGCTCTTGTCTGAGAACCCTATAGTGAATTGTGAAGACAGGAAGAAAGTCTAGGGAACATTTTCTTTATAGCCCAGCAGAGGGCGCTTCCTCCACAGCCATGGTTCCAAACCTTTCTCTCTAGGGGCTGCTAGGAAGCCTCAGACTGGGTGTGGCCTCATGGGAGCCTTAAGCATGTGCATTCCATTCTCTTTGGCCTTCTTCTACAGGTGCCCCTTCCTGAATCCCAGGGGACCAACCTATATGAGATCTCTTCCATCCTGCTATGGATGAGGAAACTGAGGCTGGGGATGCAAGAGACCCTACCAGGATGGTGCCAGATGTCCTAGAGAATGACACATGCCTGCTCTCACACATGCCTGCCCCCAGCCTCAGGATAGCATACCCTATATCTGAGAGTTTCAGAGAGACTAACAAGGTTCATGTTTGAAGCCTTCCAGAACCTTGGCTCAGTTCCTTCAGCTGTTTCTTGGGAAGAGAAAGAGTGTGTGTGTGTGTGTGATGGTGGCCCATGGATCTTCCCTAATTACTGCTGGGTGGGACAGGGCTCAGTGAAGAACAGCATCCCAAGGGAGGAGAACCTGGGCTAGTGTTGGCAGGCACCTGCCCCTGGAAGACCTGTTTGTAGGTCTTCCAGTCAGCCTCGCAACCCCAGTCCTTGCCCCATGTCCCTGAAGGGACCCACTCAGTACCCGACCACATTAAAGGGCTGAGACACCAGATCAGATTCCCACTGTTAGGGCCACAGTGTTAGCTTCTACTCTAGTCTAGTCCTCTAGTTGCCTTTGGGCTCCATGGGAGTGACCATGTGGCTGAGGATCATAAAGCTAGGAAGCCTGCTTCCCCATGTGGTAGCTGCTGAGGAGTCATTTTGTCTCTTTGGGCCCATTTTTTCCCCTTCTCATTGGTCGGCATCAAAAGATAGTAAGAGCTAGTCAGTGGTGGCACACACTTTAAGTTCCAGCACTTGGGAATCAGAGGCAGGCAGATCTCTGCAAGTTTGAGGACAACCCGGGATACAATACAAAGAGAGATCCAGGATGGCCAGGGATGTTATACAGAGAAATCCTGTCTTGAAGACTCCCTCCCAAAAGGGAGAATAAGAGACCACAAACTACAGGGCATTGTCATGATATACCCAGAGCAGGACTTGGCCTCCTTAAAATCTCATTTAACCTCATAACAACCCTCATATGAATTTTGTATTATCCTCCTGAACAAATGAAAAACCAAGACTCAGAGAGATCAGCTAATAAGCACAAAGCTTGTAGCAGCAGCTTGTAGTCCCTTGACTTACAACCCCTGTCCTATAAGAGGTGTTGCTATGTTGCTCAAGCTAGTTCTAAGTGATCTTTGTGCCTCAGTCTCCCAAGTAGTTAGTAGTATAGGGCTGCACACTATACCCAGCTGACTCTACCATGTAGCCAGGCTGGCCTGAACTCGATAACTAGTCCAGACTGATCTTCAACACGTGGTGATCTGTCTGCCCTATAAATATGAGGCACCATGCACAGTGGCTTTCTGGCCCTAGTGAAGGCAAATAAATGGAGCTCTGTTGTTCATCTCTCCTTCACTTCCCACTGTTCTGTGCCTGTCACCAGAGGACTGGTTCACACCCTCTTAGCATCAAACCCTCTAGCACCAAACCTGCTTGACCTGAAGAATATAGGGGTAGAGAAGAGGCCACTGGGACCAAGAG